GAAGGACAAAGAGGAGGAAGCATAAGAAGAGAATGAGAAGGAGGAGGACCCAGAAGTAGACCCGGAGAAGAGCAAGAGTGCAGAGACCAGAGACCGAGTCAAGCAACAGAAGTTCACGCAGATGTTTGCTGCCGGTGAGATCCCAGAGTGGATTGCAAGGGAGTGGGGGAGTACAAAGAAGTTCAAACATGGCAAAAGAGAAAAGCAAACCCTAATTGTCAACAGCCTGTTTGATAGACAGGGGGAGGTTGATCATGAACACAAACAAGGCGGTTTTCAAGAACATGCGACATGTGACATGAGTCAAAAGTGAACAAATTTGGTGACATTACTCTTGCAAAAACTTAAACACAGCCAACAACAACAACAAGAAAACAACAAAACGAACAAAACAACAAAAACAAAACAAGACAGAAATAACAGAAACCACACAAAAAACAACATATGACAACACATGTTTCACATACTAAAAAAATTACTAGCCTTACTAAATTAAATTACTAGCCTTACTAATTTAAATTACTTGTCTTACTAAATTTTACTATGGAAAAATTACTTTGCTTTTTTACTAATTTTTTACTTTACTAATGGAAATTAAGTAATTTTTTGGCCTACTAAATTTAGTTGATCCGCAGACTCAGGGCAGTCCGTAGAAGGCTTCACGTACTCGAAGTGCTCTTTGATCACCAGGACTTGCTCCAAACATGGCTGCTAGCTCCGGCGGTGCCATGACATTCAACTCCTCATCTTCTAAGCTTATGCCAGTCTGTAGGAAAGCGCTCGTCGCGTCACCGGCCTTGACCTTCATCTTCAGGGCCGCAGCTAACGTCAGGATGACGTTGCGACCGACCTTGGACATGGTCGGAGAGGCTGTGGCCACTTCGGTCAAATTGCGCGCCATAAAACCTAAGACCACAAGGCGGGCCTTGGCCGATCCATCGCCCTTTCTCGTGAGCACCCATCGCATTCTCATCAGCTTGTTGGCGTCGAGGTCCTTGTTCTCCTTGGTCGTGAGGTTCCTCAAGGCTTTGCTGATGACAACCTGGGACAACTCTTTGGCCATCGCCAAATCAAACTCTTTCTTCTCGGCCATCGACAGGGTGTGCCACTCCACCTCGGTGCCCTTAGCAGACATCTTCTTGCTTAGCCACACTGTTCCACGATGTCGATCTTTAATCCTGTTGCCTCACATCCGGGGTTCGGTTTTGTATCTGGGGTTCGGGTCAATTCCAAGGATTGAATGGATGGTTACTGACTGATGTCAGATTCGTGTGAAATAGCAAACAGGTGGTCAAAATTCTGCCGGCGCATTGGGGGAAGCCTTTTGGGAGAGGTCTTGGATGTTGGATGGATGACGTGTCAGGTTCGGCCCGGATGAAAAAATCCAAGGCTTGACCCGTGCCTGGCTAAGACCAGGGAGCCTGGTCCCTTAGCATGGTACTGGTGTCGTGTTGGGAAAATTGTTGGCCACCTGTGATTTTGGCAACACACGGGGCGCCGGTAGCAGCCAAGGTTAAGAGTACAGTTATTTGTTTAAAAATGGCTGGCCGCAAGTCGGCGTGGTTTGGGATTGTGAGCGGGCACCTCCTTCACTGGAATCACACACAAGAACCCAGTAGCAGTACAGCCGCGCTTGCAGGCGCGCAAATATTTCAGAAAGGGTTCTCAAACTTGGTGTCCTCGAAGGGTTGACTTGAGCCAGTTCAAGGTTTGGACCAGGTATATATTTCATATACTATATAATATTTTTCGTATGATAAGTATATATACTGTCTTTCAACATTAAACTTTTGAAAAAAGGCCTCCACTGCCGCAAAAAAATGCCGCTTGTGTTCTTTGCGCGTGACACCGAAAACATGTCATGATCAAATGTGCATACAAAGCTGAATCGCACGCCTGCACCAATTCATTTTCTGCACACAAGGTCGGTGCGACGTCGCTCTATCGAAAAACTGCATTGAAACAGCTACAAGCTCCATCCAACCTAATCCACTTCAGGGATCTCACCATCCATTTCTAAGGGAGCTTCTGACTCGGGCTGCTCTTCAGCCTCACCCTTGGCAACCTCTGACGCCAATGCTTCCTCAAGCTGTGGCGAAGTGACAGCCGAAATTGACCTTGCAGCCGCTGCACTAGCCGCTGTTTCCGCGGCTGCGAGCATGGTTTCCTTGGAAAAACACACAATTTCTTGGGATTACAATTGCGCGCCATTGGACTGAACTGGTGTATGGAATATATATAATCGTAAGGCTATGTCCACAAGCTCCAACGCGTCGGCAATCTTCATACCTTGGGCTAGTTCATCGTGCACAATTGCCTGAGACCAGACGTTCGCGAGAACTTGGCGAACAGCAAACAGAACTCAAACAATTAGCGGACAGTGACTTTTGGTTGAGTTGCAGCCACTTCTGCGATTTTCTCTGGTGGGACACCTTCACGGGGCTTAACCTGACAGGGGTTCCAACTGCTGGGGCTAGGTTGGAAACAGTGGAACATGTCAATCAAACTTAAACAGATTTTTTGGAACCCCGCACCCTCACCACTTCCTTGCCGTTGATCTTCACACCCCACATCCCTTCACGTCCGCCAGTTGTGTACATGTACTTAGAAGACTTGAGAACCTTGTTGTCGTCCGTCTGTGCTGCTGGGCGCCTTTTCACGGTATCCGAAGCTTTGTCAGCATTGGGTGTGTCAGCCCCAGCAGCTGCAGCAGGCCTTTTCATTGGCAAGGTTTTGGTTTTGGCTTTCGGCTGATTTGGCTCGTTCGGTTCAGCTGGCATCTTTGGTTGAGGTGGCTTCTTTGTTTGAGGCTTCAGCTTTGGTGCGGCCTTTGGTTTCTTTTTCGCAGCAGGCTCTGCAGAGGTCTCTGCCTGGGGTGCTCCTGGTGGAGCCTTGGGAGGCTCCTCCTCGTCCGACAATTTCGATATATCCGCGATAGGCATGGCCCAGGCCAAGCAACTACTTTAGTGTCCTGGTTTTGAATACTCCGAACTGGCAGCGGAAAAACACACCTTAAGCAACAAAGCACAGTGACTACAGTACAGGTGGAACACATTGCAGGACATAGTCCTAAGCCTCGCGGCTTTTGCGGCTTTTGCATCAAGCTTCGAAATCCAAAGAGTTCTCAAAATCTGAGCTCGAAGAAAACCCAGAGAGGGCAAAATGTTGAAGCAAAATTTGGCTATATAGCATAACATCATCAATAAAAACTGCCAAAACATATCTCCACCATATTGACTTTAACGCAGGCATAGTCCTCTCAGAACAAAATAGCTAAGTGCTCTTCCCTGCTCAACTGGGTTCAACTCACGTTCAGCTTGACAGCATGCTTGGCGGCTATAGTCAGCTGGCAAGTCAGCCAGAACTTTGGCTTGAGCGCCAGCACCTTCGAAGGTACTCCGGCTTCAACCCTTACCTTGGCTTGGTTACATCAAACGACCTAAATACCAAAGCGCATACAGTTCAGTGTCAGTTGTACATGTACTCAACATTCTGCCAAAATGACTTCCCACAACGTCGCAGCCATGCTTGACTTAGGCAATTTTGTGAAATTGTTCTTCACGACAGCCCCCAGCCAAGTGCTCCTCATGGCCATGAAATCTGTGCCGCTTGGCGGGTCATTCGGCTCCACAACGCTGACTTTCGTCTTTGGTGTCACTCTGTAACGAAAATGCATCGGAGCGCCGGAAGACTCCTGCTGCTGCAGCCACCCAACATCAGAATACCCAACATTAAAACTATATCCTCCCTCACAACGTGAACAAATATCCAGGCCTGCGATCGTTGGACCAAATCGTGTTCAACCAAGTTGAGGGATGTCACGCCACTTGTGCGGGTGGTGTGGCATATCAAGTCTGCCAGGCTCATCGCTTTCTTGCCAGTCTGGCTACAAAGCACCAGTAGCTGAAGGTCAGAGTCCACAATCCAAGGAATGGCTTTTGCTGAGCCAGTACGAGCGAGGCCTCCGCAAAAGTCTTGGTGATTTCAAATTGTCATTGATAACAAGAAAATCAGCAACACAGCGGAGGCTTGACAGTACGATTTGGTGGTTGCAAGAACTTCCAGCCTATCGGAGATTCCGTTGCATGTGCAAGGCCGAAACCAAACAGCTCCCCAGGATTGAGCTGCATGTCTGAATCATTTGGGTTGTGCAGCCACACATCATGCCCACGACTGATACACACTTGAATCTTCGTATTCGAAGTGGCTTGGGCTTTCGCCAAGAACCTGAGCATCAGCCGAAATTCTAAGGTGAACCACCGACTGAACTGAACCCTGAGCATCAGTTGGCGACAAAGCCCAATGGGTCAAATTAATATCCTGAACAAAGTAGAGCCAAATAAAACATGTCAATCAGTCCGAACTAATTTCTAGGAAGTTGAAACACTGGAACTTTGGTATGTAATTCTTTGCGGGCCAGAAACTCAACTTGTGTTTCAAACTGATCACTTGCAAGCACATCTGAGGGCAGGAGAGTTTGATCAATGTCGATGGGTCGATCTCCGTCGGTGAACGCAGGCGTGCACGAAGTTCGTGCAAGGTCCTCAACACCACCTGGCGTTTGCTCCGGGTTCTGATGCGATGCCGCCTGAGTGGTAGTAGTCAACACTCCTTCGTATTGCTTGTTGAACTTAGCCACGCTGTCTTTCAATACAGTCAGCTTGGCTTCGTCGGCAGCATCCTTGAAAGCATCAATGACAGTTGGCGGGATCCTTGCACGACCATGCCCACACATAACCGCGGCAGAGTGGACAAATCGATATGACAATGACCGTAGGTTTAGAACAAGGCAATGGGACACCCCAGCCAATCTGTTCAGAAAAGTGGCGAGACCTTTTGCCCCTGCATGGTCAACACCTCTGTCACAGGGACCGGCTTGCTGTAGGGAGCAGCTGGCCGGGTTTTCGGGCCGGCTTCAGCACATGAATCCCAGTAGTCCTAAGGCGGCCGTTGTTTTTTAACTGCTGTTGTTTTTTTAATGTGTTTTTGGCTCTTGTTGTTTAGCGCGCAGCCCAAAAAACTGAAAGCTGTGGTTGCTGGTATTGAAAGAATGAGCCTCTGGCTGTGACGAGGCCTCCTTGGACCTCTGAAGCCAAATTCTGCAAGTCCTTTGCCTCTTCTTCACTATAGTACGCGGTAAAGAAGTATTCATGACCAGCGTTGCTTTGCAAGTGATGCTTCTGCATCTCTGCTACAGCTTTGCCCCATTCATTGTACCTGCCGTGCGCGGTCACTTTCACTAACCCTTTCAAACATGGACGCAACGCTGCCTGCTGCAACAAACCTGCATCACTCAACTCTATATTATTGCGTTTTAGATTCTTAGTCTTTCCACCAACACCAGCCTATTAGGCATCAAGTCAACGACGAAGATCTTCTTCGGGGTTGAATCAGTCGCGACTCCCTCCAAGACAGCTTGTATCACCTCTTGACATCCCTGGAGTCCTCGCTGCTGTACCTGGCACAGCGACGGCTTCCCTTCTAAGACGAAGAGTGGCCGACTTCGTGATTGCAAACACCTCTGAGAGACATCGTGTCTCTAAGACAGCTTTGTGTTTACTAAAATCAAAGCGACAAACGGACAAGGTACCCGCTGCGGTGCCGAAAGAGGCCGGTCGGGATCACTGTTCTGCAGGTCACAGACTCGCGCCCTGCTGATGGGTCCAATCGAACCCAGAAGTGCGGCGCTGCCAGCAAATGCCCAGGACTTGTGAATTGGTGATGAAACCATGATACCTGGAGCAAAATATCACTTACCGCCCTGGACATGACACAATGTTCATCGTAACAGTTGCACATGGCACCGGCTTGAGGCGCAAAACCAATGAATCAAGCTACAGTTTTGGCTCCTCTTACGGCGATCACCACTGTGCTCGGTGGCCTGAAAGTTCAGCGATAACTCTGTTGCCTCGAAGGACCTAAGTTGCTGGAGGAAACTGCGTGCCTCCCAAACATCTACGGCTTGAAGACATATTAACAACTCAATCCCACTGCTGCCAGCAAACTTATACAACAGATCTTCAATGTGTCTTCGGTGCAGAACTACGGCTTCTTGGGTCGTGCTTCCATGGAGAACAGGTAACAAAGCGAAGCCTGCTGAATTGGGAGACGCCGCACAGATTGCCTTGGCTGCTGAGGTCGCGTCGTCCACCAGCAACTTTCCTGAGTTCAAACTTCTTAGAGAGAAAGTTTCTCTCAGCTTCATGAACAAGTAGTGATTTTCCAAGTTTCGCTTCGGCCAAAGGGTTGTGTCCATAAGCACCAAAGCAAGCCTGACACAATGACCATAGCAGGCATGATGACACAATGATCATAGCAGCGTTAGTTCTAGGCGAGGAGTTTGGGGCACTGAATTGCCGTCAAGGAGCGATGCTCCACCTTGACGCTGCACTTGTTCCAGAAAGTCTGGCACACAATCCTCAAGACTTTTCACCTGGATATAGCGTTGGTGCGTATCACAGTAGTCCTTGATTTTTGCCGTGCCGCGGCTGTACCGATCTGTGAGGTACTTGATGTCCAGGTTTGCCTTAGCGTTCACTGGTTGTTTCGGCTTCCCCCAGCTTATATCAAAGTCACACGTTCTCTCAAGTTCCTGCATCACTGAACTGCAACCAAGAAGATGAAAACACTAAACAAATCGCTGGCACCACAACACTTGACCAACCCGAAACAAACAAGAAGCCTGGCGATCGCAATGAGTCTTTCTCTCGTCAAAATATTCCATCAGGAGTGTCAAATCAGTTTGGATCTTGACCTGCATCTGAGAGAATGATGCCTGTGCCATTTGCTCGGCCAGCCTCGAGGCACACAAGAACAACAATACAACACAATATATAGGTTGTTTTTGCGCTGAGACGTTTGGCTTCATGTCAGAACATGACAAAGAAACTTGGGCGCCAACTTCTCGGCTGCCTTGAAATTCTGATCGGACACCTTGCCAGCACAATCACGGCGCATCAAGATTTGCTAGTAGTAAGTCGTTCAAGCTGGCCGGGCCTCCTTTGCATACTTGTTGATCGCAGATCTGAAAGCAGAAACTGCATTGATATCAATGGGCGGAACCCCACTCTCCAACATCGAACTGAACTCAGAGTCCAGGTGGCGAAGAAGAAACCTTGCCGGCGTGAACAAACTCGTGCTTTCTATCTGCTGATGAAATAACTGCGCATTAGCATAACTCTGGCAAAACACTACCACAACAGAACATCACATCAAGCAATGCAAGCCACGATTTCAGGATGACGGGAAGTTCCGACGCCGCGAACGCGCTGGGGACTTTCTGCTTGAATATATGCACGCTATTGAGATACATACAGCACCTTCTCTGCAGGATCTCCTAACAGCATCTAACAGCCACGCGCTGCAACCAAGAACGAGCCTGCGCGAACCAGCACCACAACCCCCCTAGAAACATAAAACTTTGACTTGCAAAATAACATATCCAACCGCAAACCAGTGGCGAGCTCTTTGAACCCGTAGCTCTTCCTGAACTTCGGGTTGAGATTCAACCAATCCTTTTCCATGCGTTCGCACATCAGCTCGAGAACCTCCACCGAGTTATCCAAATGACCGTCCCACATTGAGAGCTGAGATGAGGCACCGTTGTAGGTGGAATTAAAAACTCCAGCTGCAAGTGGTTCGTGATTCATCAGCCTATTCATGCCGTGTGTCCTGGCTGGCGTGCACACATTCATGACTGGGTTCTTTCTCACGCCCTAAGCAACTGTTACATTTAATGTTCGCAAGTGGGATGGTCCTCACGAGTTCAGTCAAGCGCGTCACGGTTTCTCGGGGAACAGTCGTCAGCAAGGCCAGTGCAGCCTGGCTCTCAACACGGCCTATCTCATAAGCCGCGGCAAAGCTGTGTGCGCTCTCCCAGGCCTTCCAGATTGAGAGGTTGAAAGTAGAAAGCGCAATGATGCACCCTGGCCTCCAACGGCCCATCAGAACGTGTGTTGTGATCTTTCTGGAGCTGTAGCTGGTAGTGCAAGTTGAAGGCATTCGGCTTTCGTCGTGTTGATGCGCTCCCGAGTGTGATCCCTTGGCAATTAAAAGTTCGCTTTCCAAGCCGTTTGAAGGGCAAGGGACGACATGTAATCTCAGTAACTCTAAACTCTAAACGTGTTTGACCATTGAACTGAAACCATTAGCGGTGAGGGGCGTCGGTTCCGATCCACTAGGTCATTCAGCGATTTCGGGCATGAGTTGGTCGCGTGGATGGTCTGAAAGCTCCTTACATACAGGTGCTGGCAGGCCACGAAAACAGTCTAAGTGTCCACATGGTTGTTTGATTGACACATTCCACATCAACTTGGCCAGAGTGTCTTCTTGAGATCGTCCGACCAAGTCTGGACACAGGTGCCAAAGAAACTCACAATCAAACTGTCTTATTCCAGCTCCTTTCAAGAGCGGCCAACTGCGACATTTAGGTGTTAAGCCAACGCCCAGCCTTCAGCACATCGGGGTTGTAGTAAGCGAAGAGCAGGCAGCCAATCGCACAAAAACAGCGAGTAAACCCTTTCACATAGAAAACGCTCATCGGTTCTAAATACTCCTTGCCCATGGACCCCTGAATTGCAAATTGAGCAATTTCATCCGCCCGAACTGCTGGAATTGGTGTCTTCACAAGGCTTGGGTCCACGGCGCAAACTGCAATCTTCTCTACTCCTGCTTCATTGGCGTCCGTGTTGAACCTTGGCGCACCCTTGTGCGTTCCCCACAAAAGAATGATAGGAAGATTCCCCACCACTCAACACACAGTCAGTCTGTTCAGTGTTTCATGAAAAGAGCACAGCGAAGCCGGAACACTTGGAGGCCAAAATAAGCTGGCATACCTGGTGGAATACATCCTCAGAGTCAGCCAGGGCAGCATCGTTGGGGAGGAAGTACAACACACGAGAACGGCCCAACACTTTTCTTTTACCAACAGTCTGAGGTCGGGTCCGGCTCAACGTATCCACGGAGGCCGAACTGTGGATGGTAGTTGAGCGTCCAGGGTCGAAGCTGGAGTGGTCCCTCACCATCCAATGCCCCCGGCATTGCATAGTACCTGCCAGCTCTTAGCGACAGTGACATCAATCTCGTCCGTTGGCCTACGGTCTTGGAAGTAACCTTTACCTTCAAAAAGATTGAGGACTGAACGATGAAGGATCTGGTGGAAACGCGTCCTCCACAAAGATCCAGAAATTCTTGAGCTCACCCTGGCCAAACTTAAATAGTGGTCAAGAAAAAATATGGGTATGACAGTCACACAACATTGCCAACAACCCCACAGACCCTAAATGTAATAAGCACTTAGGTAGTCTTGGGGCGGCCTTCCTCCGTCGTTTTAAAAACCTGTTGGCGACTAAATTAAAAAGGCAACCCCAATTCACAAATTACCTGGTAAAGTCTGGCGGTGTCCTTGTGTAAGCTACTTAAACTGTTGCGTTGCTAATAATGTGCCAGTCAAGTGGGGCCTCCTTCGAGAAGGTATCCATCATAAAGTTTTCGAAGCTCTTGTGCTCATTCACAACTTTAGCCCTGAGTCAATAAGTGTGAGTGGTCAAATTAAATATCTAACCCGAAAATAAATGGAACCGAGTCAATGTTCAGCAGCACGTTTTCAGCCCAGTGCAACAAAGAAACAACCATTGATCAAAACGTTGAACTTGCTCGTTAAGCAAGACTGATACGGGGACCTTGCTGGCCACATCGGGCTTGGCCGACTTCGCGGCCGAAGCCCCAGCACCTTCGCCGGACTTCCGCTTTGACGGGGGCATTGCGATGACACCGCCGCCTGCCTACCAGCCTTCATAGTGAGCCACGCGAGAAAGCAGCTAACTGCTGATTACAGAAGGCCGAAAAAAACAACCATCGTCGCATCCCTCCTCGATTGGTTCAGCTGAAACCAACTACTGGTGCCCACAACACTGCCAAAAAAAGATGTGTCCGAGTGACAGGAATCCAGTGAGGCCCCAACACAGTTGCAGGGGTGAGAAACTGCAAGCAACATAAAGGAAACAGGTGAACCCACCAGGACTACAAACAACATTGCGAGCGCGTCTCAAACGATGTGACACACTGACAGTGAGATCAACTACGATGAACAAAAGAAAACTGTTTGGACACCCATCCATGAAAGATGCAAACTCACTCTCCTGAACATCGTGGCACCTTGCACTCAAAACGATACCCATTGGTCACCGAACATTTTGCGCATAATGCCGCCCACATTCTGCACAAATTGTTGTTCACTATCCAAGTGTCAAAAACAAACATATGCCTATATATAATATATTATGTATTAATATATATGTATACCCATACCGAATCCGAAAAGGTTAACTGTTTAGGGTTTAGGGTTTTCGGGCACGCCCTCTCCCAGAGATTTTGTGCAGAATGTCACCGACATTCTGCACAAATTTTTTGCCAACCATCTGTCAACTCAACAACTACACCCTTAAATGTCCATGCCGCATCCAAAAAACCGGAACGTTTAGGGTTTAGGGTTGCACCAACTAGTCTTGAATGATGCATTCATATAAAGGTTGGGAAAACTATACTGCACAAACATGTTGTAACCAAGGGCAAGGCACCTGCACAAATACCTACACGACCAACACAATTGTGTAGCCCCCTATTTGTGCATGATGTTGGCAGCATGCTGCACAAAACACTTGGTTCAAGAATCAACTGTGGGCATCCCACAATCCAACCAGTGAAAAGTTTCACTACCACTGATTCTAAGGATTGGATTTGAGCGTGCGGGGGTCAACATTATGCACATTCCTCACTGGCTGATCCAGACATCATTTTGCGCCAGGGAGACACTACACTGCTGTCGTTCCTTGTGCAGAAAGCTTCTGGGCACTTTGACAAGTCAACAAGACAACTGAACCCTGCTAACAAGACAACTGAAGGCTTGTAGTTCAACTTTGGAACTGGGCGTCCGTTGTCACAACAAACAGAACAAATTATTTGCTCAAAAGCTTGGGCAATGCTTTGCGCCGCTATTCCGCTATCACAGCGTCAAAGGCTTCTTTAACCGTGCTGAGCGCCACATTCCAGGCGACTCCATGCGACCAAAGCCGTGCGGCTGCCTGGTGAAGGTAAAACGCCCTCCGCCGGCTTCTGTACTTGTCCAACGCTGGTCGCTTGAAAGATTCCCGTTCGAGCTCCAGGACATTGGCATCCTGTCATCAGACCGTCAGTCTACTCAATGTCCATTAGTAATCATTACAAAAACCTGATCATTGCCCTAATCCTGAGTATCTCACCGCTTCAAAGGTGTGGCCACGTGGCTCTACAGCCACGCAGCCACCTCCAACAGCAGGCCCCATCGAAGGAAAGAACCTTGCCAGGTCATGGTCGCGAGGTCCTATTGGGTATTTGCTTTAATAAACAAAACGGCCATTAGGGCGCTAACGCCCCAATAGAAGCCAAGGGCGATCTTGGAAATGTCCCATCAGCCAATTGCACCAAGTAATCGGCAGCAACGTGCATCGCAAATGGTTCATCTCCTTCAATTGCAAAACATAAGCACACACATGCACCGGACTCCACAGCACAGTGCACGAGCGAATAGAAAGGATAACAAAACCCAATCCATCCGTTTCCTTATAAAAGCCAACTGCGGAGGAGGTGCGTAGCAAAGCAGCGTATTTTCGGTAGTGCTCAGCGGTTTGGGGCTCCATGGGATTCTCGTCTGCCAAGACTTAGACACGCAACAAGTGAGGTGAGCTAACTTGGATCCAATCAAGTGAGGTGCCAAAACGCATCGCTGCCAAGAAACCCTTGGGTGGCCCATCAAGAGTGGCAGCGACGGAGGCTGGCAAATGTAAGATTACCTTCCCCTGAAATCTTTGGTCGGCCATGTAGCGTTTTGTCCTGGCAACTTCGTTTTCGGCGGCCCAACTTGGATCTCAATGGGCCTCGCGCGCAAAGACATACCTGCACTAATTGTATGTCACAATATGTTTAGAGTAATATATAGTTTCAATCACAAGTGTCTAAATAAGTATCAAATATATATATATAATGTTTTCACATAGTTTCCAGCGCTGATTCCGGTTTCCACCTGCAACCCAGATCGAACACGCATTAGTTCAAGACTGGTTTCTCATCTCTTTCTTCCATGGAGTTGCAATTGTCAGATTCCCCAAAATTGGTGGCGTTCACCCAACCCTCAACTGAACCAACAGAAATCCTAAGTCCTTAGCAAAACATCATCAGGCGAAGCACGGCAGACCCCACGACGGACCCAGAACGCGTCGCTGACATTGCCATCAAGTCCTGATGAACAAGTGAGGGAGGTTCGCATGTCTGTTCTCGTTGCCACAAACTGGTTGTTTTTTTTACTTGAAATGAAAAGGAATTTCGAGTGCTTCTCCACAACACGACGTCCTCGGACGTCCTGTCTACGATCCAGCGCGAAGTAGTGCGGCGCTCCGGGACCGCCGATGCCGCGGAGGAAGTTGCCGCAACACCCAGCTTGCAGCCAAGGCGTCCTCGAGATCAAAGCAAGTGTTTGCACGCTTTCAACTTGGTGAAGGACTCGAACACCGATGGTTCCCAACACAACGCTGGCCCTGACAAGCCCTTTCCGGAAACCGGCCAAAGGTTTTCACTTGAGCCTTTCCACCACTCTTGGATCAAACCAAGGACTTCACTGGACCTATCT